TTGTGACATGTCTAACAGACGATGTTTTAATCTATGGCTCGACGAAACGACAACATGGCGCTAAGCTCTACCGTCTCTTGCAGCGTTGTGTGCAAAAGAACATCAAGCTTATATGCGAACAATTTGAGCTTCGGAAAGATGAGGGGCTTTTCCATGGCCATGTGTTAACTACCCAAGAGATCCGGGTCGATCCAGGAAAAATCAGGGCAATACGAGAGATGCCACTTCCTAACGACGTGAAGAGAATCCATCGCTTAAACAGCATGTTGAGTTATTTGAGCCGTTTTATGCCTAGACTCCCTGATATCATGACGCTGATCCGGAAATTATCTTACATTGGAGTAAGGTGGAGTTGGGGAAAGGAAAATGAAACCGCGTTTGCAACTTTTAAGTACCTTAACAGCGACGCGCCTGTACTTGGATATTACGATCCAACGCAGCCGCTGGAGATACAGTGTGACAGTAGCTATGACAGAATAGGTTCAGTTCTTTTACAGAATTGGCAAACCTTTGAATTTCCGAAACTGAGCACTCACCGTGACCCAGAAGCGCTATGCGCATATTGGGAAGGTGACGCTTACGGTAGTCTATGCCATAGAGCGTTTCGACGATTATACTTTCGGAAGAAAGACAACTTTCTATACCTACTACAAACCGCTTGTATCGCTAGCCAGTAAACCGCTGCACATCGTTCCTCGTCCTCTTCAGCGTATGCTTATCCAGCTCCAAAAGTACGACGTGGCTATTGTGTACACGCCTGATGCACAGATGCTTATCCCGGACACACTGTCAAGAGCACATCTACTGGTATCTGAGCATAATGCAGAACAGCTCGAAGCAGTAAACCTAGTACAACATCTAGCAGTAACGGAAGGTCGTCTGAATGATATAAGGTACCACACAGAGGAAGATGCGACATTTGCAGCTTTACGCGACGTTATTATAAATTGTTGGCCCGAAACGAAGAAACAGCTAACGAAGTGCTAACGCCCTACTTTAATTTTCGGGATGAACTCTCTGTCTTTGATGGTTTGCTGTTCAAGGGAAGCCGTATTCTGATTCCGTCATCGCTCCGAGGAGAAATGCTGAAGTATGTTCATCGCGCTATATGATTATCCGATCAAAAGAATTGATCTTTTGACCAGGAATGACTGGCAAAATAAGTGTTCATGTGTCGGGTTGTGAGGCGTGCCTTTCACACGAAATTCGGCAAATGTGGGAACCTATGATGCTGCAAGATGTCCCTGACCGACTGTGGCAGAAGGTGGCGGTGGATTTATTCAGTGATAACGGAAAAGATTACTTTCTCACAGTAGACTATTCCAGTGATTATTTTGAAATCGATTTACTCACTACTGCGACCACAGACGCAGTAATCAACAAGCTCAGATGTCAGTTTGCGCAGCGCGGTATACCGGAGGAGCTGATCTCCGGCACTGGTCCTCATTTTACGGAAGCTGCGTTCCAGACTTTCGCAACCAAGCGAGAATTCGTACACCAGCAAACCAGCCCGTATAACAGTCAATCGAATAGAAATGCGGAGTCGGCAGTGAAGCAGGCCAAACGACCGTTATCGAAGGCTAAAGCAACTGGCGAGTACCCATACCTCCTGCTACTGTAGGATCGCAACACAACTTCAACGAATATCGGTTTGAGCCAAATCCAGCGCCTATACCGCCGAAGGACTAGAATTCTGATGTCGGCATCTGCCACACTTTTGCGCTCAGTTTAGTCACAGCATGAGCGATTAAAGAACAACCTGAGACGACGAATGACCACCCATACACGCTGCTACGCCCGCGGTGCACGGGTATTTCGTGAGCTAACACTGGAGGAAGAAGTCTGGGTTCAGCCAGCACCCGATGGTCAAGAGCAGTGGAAGTAAGGTGTGGTGACTGTGAGGGTCGGCACCAAGTCATAAGAAATAAAGGTTGGGGGAAAAACGTTCTGAAGAAATCGGGTGCATTCGAGACGACAACGGAGACAACAATGTGGATTTGGTGCGGAGCGCCATATAGCGTGTGAGCAAGGAGACCATGGCCGCAGATACTGTGAAGACGACGCGGAGTGGCAAACTGTACGATGTGCATGACAATAGGGAGGCGCAACGATACGAAAAAAAGGAGAATTTAGTGGGAGTGTCAGATCAGTGTAGGCGGATAGACAAACTGAGCGAGCCAGAGAGCCAGTGAGAGGTGGGCCTGACGGATTCGATTACTGGACTCGGATTTGTCGATATTTGTGTGAGTGCTACCTTTGTTGTTTAACTGCAGCAAAGGTGAACCTCATCGACTCAGAAGGATCGTTAGTTATGGACGAACGCGCATCTTATATCATGGAGTTTAGCTCGCCAGGGATGCTGTAATTTTCGCCGACTTGACTTTTCTGACTAAACGCTTGTCCCTGAAGGACGGAGTTCTGCAACAATGGGTACAGGTTGACGGCCATCTGTTTGACTGCTATCCCTCTGCTAGTGGATTAGCTCAAGGCATGGTGCTGAGGACCACTCTGATCCTAATCCACAGCAACGATGTACTTCAGCTTCTTTGGTCGCCGTGTGCCCTGTTTGCGGACGGCTTGAAGTTTTGGATAGTGTTTAGCACCCCAGATGACTATAGCATACTTCTGCAAGACCTCAACCGCCTCTCCATGGGGTCTGCAGAAGTCCCTGTCAGCACAAAAAGGTTGGTATTCAAGAGCCTGTGGAAGGTTGATGACGGCCGAATGTACACTATTGTCGGCCAACCGCTAAATTTCACGCCTTCAGTGAATGACCTAGCTGTACTCTGATGCTGCACTTGAAGTCCGTGGATAATATGAACAGGCTATATCGCAACGGACTGCACATGCTTTAGGCACTCAAACACATTTTTCTTGCTTATGAGTAGAAGGACTTTTGTGAGTATTTTTGTTCGTCGCGGTCAGCCGACAATCCTCCATGGCGCAGTTGCATAAACTGTGGGCTAGTTAGCACAAGCTACCAGCAGTCATTGGTTCGATCCTCCGTAGAGGACCGAGGGATGCGCACCACTGACAAGCACCAATAGGGCGAAACGGCCGTCTGGTGCTTTTCCGGATAGGTAGTCGACTTATCTGGATTGTCGGCTGACTGCGACGAACAAAAATACAAAAATCCTTCTACTCATAAGTAATACAAATTCGCCCTTACGGTTTCCATAAATGATATGTCGATTCATAGCTGCCGTAACCGGGAAGTCCTGACACCGGAAGGCCAACCGCTGCCATCTGCATGGCAGGCGCCGGCATGGCAGTGGAGGATGGGTCGGGCTATATCGCAGTTAGCTAACAATTCGTGATGGTCGGCTACCGTCCTCCATGGCGCAGTTGCATAAGCTGCGGGCTATTTGGCACCAGCCACTAGCAGTCATGTGTTCGATCCTCCGTAGAGGACCGAAGGAGGCGCACCACTGACGAGCCCCAATAAAGCGAAACTGCCGTCTGGCGCTTTTCCGGATAGGTAGTCGACTTATCTGGATTGTCGGCTGACTGCGACGAACAAAAATACAGTTTTCTTGCTCGGTCTAAAGAAGTCGCCACTTACCATTTGCATCGTAAGCCTATTACAAAGTGTAGCTCGCTCGCTTGCTGTCCGATCACCCAAGTCGAGGCACAGAAGATCAAACAGGTCCAACTCGTCGCCGCCAGGCTTATTCCGGATTTACGGGTATTATCGTACGAAGACGAATGCGAGAAACTCGGACTCTTCAGCTTCTCATATCGTCGGGTGCCAGTCGATCTCATCTTGACTTACTGCGTATTGCATCTCGGTTACTTACCCATGTTTAAGCCACTGCTTCATTTGCGAACGTCATGCAACACACGCGGACACTGGTACAAGCTTGTGCTGCCGTACATAAAGCGAGTTCGCCACCCTCTGTTTCGGACGAAGAGTGGTAAATGTTGGGAACAGTCTGTCAGAAGTCGTGGAAACCAAATTTGGGCAGTAGTTCAAAACTTTGCTGGATTTACTTTGCACCGCAATTCGATTCAGGGGACGATTGCACACTGACACCATCTCACAGATGTGAGCCCAGTGATACACTAGGACAAAAATTTTAAGTGTCACGCTTAAGTATTAACTGGCGACAGGTCATTTTTTATACTATGTTTATCATATTGCGATGAAGTTGTACAGATGTAACTTTTTATTTGCTCCCACAATACAGTATTCAGTATTCTTCCGGTTCAATTTGAATCTGAATTTAAACACGCGTAATATCATTTACCTTGCAACAAGCAACTACGCCGATGGAGTCCTCTATATTATCGGTCCAACTTATATTTGTCCATGACTGATGCACTTATGGTCTTTGCGCATTTACGGCTTATTGTGCTTAGACTTTACGTCAAACCACATATGCTGCTAATCCATCGTACGGTTCTCCGGAGATTACTTTTTGTCTAAGGTCCTTTTATTGAAATAATGCAGAATTATTTACCGGCTGTTTCATGAAAGATCAACTATGGGGAGATACCAGTGGCGTGTCCGCTGTCGTCTCCTATTCGGACTGCCTGTATAAATTATGTTTGATGCTGAGTTGTCTGTGGGGTAATGGTTGATTAGGACACGGAGCAGTGAAAGCTGCAAGAAAGCTACCAAGCCGATGCTGCTTTATCTTTGCGGGATAACCAGCTGTTAGTGACGGTATGTTGCTGACAAGCTATGGGCACCTTGATCCTGGATGTTTGCTTAGGGCATTAAGTTTTCCGGTAAGTCCCCTTTCTCTCCCTCTTATTCGTATACGTTCCGTAATTCATCATGGCTGTACGGCAGAGAAGTATCAGTTCAAATGGCCGATGTACTGCGGTTGATGATGATGGTCATGATATGGGTCAATACTACAACTTGTTTTCATTAGTGCAAACTATGTTACGTAGTATTGTAAGCAAGTTTACGTGTATGCTTGTTTTGTATTTATAAACGCATCGTATTCTTAGTTTTGCAGGCACCAAACGTTACCATCTTTTCTATTTTTTAGTGTCAGAACACTGCCGTATGCTTATCGTGTGTCAGTGGTACTCAAGACAATCGTCTGATGTGCTTCGTCTTTTGTTTTCAATTTGCAAGTACACAGAGTAAAAGGACATCTGAATCTACGGAAAATATTCCTCCTCCCGAACATGTAGTGAAAAGTGACTCATCACGCGATCAAGACGGATCAGGCTCCCGTCATCGTGTACTGTCCACTGTGTTATCAACTCTGTGTTCATACATAGCTAAGCGCTACACCTGACATTTTGTTTCGGGAAATGGTTCAATCTGTAGATGGATTTCTTTGCGTCACTACCGTGCCGTGCAAGTGTAGTTGCATACGCCTAGTTACAACTTACTTGGTCTATATAAAACCGAATTTTTCGCCTAGTCCAATGCACTCACCATCTATATTCCCCGATCGGCGCGTTCACTGGTAACAGATTCAAAAACGAGGTTCTATACTAAGCAGACGTTGTCACAGATTGACAGGATTCTAAATTAGCTAACTTAGTGCCTACTTTTGGGGCAACAGTGGTCGAATTCCAAGGACGCACCGATCGCTTTGACCATTTTTTCTGGACTTAGGTGCTCTAATGCCATCCATGCTGCCCACAACCATGATCAGTTGTTGTAACGCTAGCTTCGGCTTGCGATTCCGGTTAAACAGTTCACACGATTTCTCAGAATGTTGCAACACCAAGGGAAATTAGGAAAACAAGCTACCACTGATGCCCTTTTTATTTATGTTCTATTCCAGTTGCACCCCTCGCGATCCGCACTTTCAACGTACATTCTGTACTTCCTCCTGTAATGGGTGCGCATCTACCGTCTGCATTCATGTCGTCTCAAGGGGTTTGTGAAAGTCGTTATACCTAATCATCGCATCATACATACTTGCTGAAAATGGGAGCTGTAATCAGAGCAAAATGGATATCCTAATTAAAGGAGCGAAAGTGAATTCTGTGGAGCTCAGTAAATTACAACTTCACTCAATCTGTATACTGCGATAAACCAGTGACCTAAGCAGGATGCAATCCGATGAACTGAAGGCAGCTTTAAGGAACAATGCAATCCAGTATCAGAAAAAGGGTAGGAGAGTGAACGCTGACCAACACACTGATTATCCATTGGTATAAATGAAATTTTGTGAATCTGCTCCATGTTGCAGCAGTATTTCGGCAAATAATGCGGATCATACAGGTCAAACTGTGGACACATGTCAACAGCTAACAGTTTTATCAGTTAGGAGCACATGCGAAAATTAGTTGTCGACCGCGATTTGCAATGGAACAATGGCTTATACTGGGTTAGAAAGCCAAGTCATGACGGGGTTCCATAGAATGTTTTGGATGAAATTAGCAAGCTATCACAGTAATATGCAGGTACGCAGTACCGACGCTGCGCTGTTTCGCACACCCAACAGTCGCGCGTGAGCTAGGGATATTGCGATGGTCACCATGTTCCCTACGCAGGCTCGAACCGGCGCCCTTAGATTACACGGCAGGCTTCTGATCCTTTTGGGCACAGGCTGGCAAACTTGATGAATGGCGTGTCAATAAGATTGGTTGCGCACGGGTGAACTTGGCGAGAACAAGATGTGGTACAGACGAGTTGTGTATAAAAGAACCCACGTCTACATATAATGACAGTTCGAACATAAAAAGTCAAGTTCATTTGCGCAGTTCCTTCATAGTACCCCTGCAGCACTCGGTACCACTGCGCACTTCCATACACAAGGTATCAGTGCAGGTTGATCTGTGCACCACTCACCGATACATGATTTCTCTGACTCGGGTCTGCTCCTTTTGCACATACTGGTCATTAGTAGTGCGGCTTAGTCCTCCCCATCAAAATTACCGCGGCCGTCGACCACGCGCGTAGTATCTCAGACCTTCGAGGTTGTTCCATGTATGCCGTAGTTTCTTCTCATTCGTACCACCTCCTCAACTCACTAACGTGAACTCACAGCCTCTCTTCCTGCCCGGCGGTTGAGTGTACGTGCTCTTGTCGACCGATTACGTCACACTGTCCCTTCCACTACGGCAGCAATTTCCTCTCCCCGAGGCCACATTCGGTTGCATGTTGATGATATTTGTACTTTACCTTTGAACCGATTGGAAAGTCTCCGGACGGTTGCCTTCTCTTGGCTCGGGAATCTTTCGTCATCCGGTCTTCAATTGCCTTCAAAATTCAGTTCGCTAGCATTATGTTCCGTGCTTTCCTTGGCGTTCACTGGCGGATCAGCCGCACTCCGGGTTCACGAACTCCGTGGCCGTACATTAACTGGGATGGGGATCTCCTGGTGTTTGCTCACTTGGACGCCCGTTGTGTCGGCTAGAGCGGTTGTAATGTCTCTTCCTAAACCTCTTTCGCCGCCAACCATTCTTCAATCGTCCTATTATACAGCTCCCTCAATCCGTGTTCATAATAATGGTAGGGAGCTGTTAGTATCTTCTTGGTACCCAGTTTCTCCAAACGTGCCTTGAATTCATCACTTTAAAACATAGACCCTTATCTGTCAGTATGGTCTTCGGAATTCCGGGGCTTTCTATCACGTATTTTATCACAGCATGTGCTATCGTGTCATCCCGTTGGTCCGGAATTGCCGCGGTTGCACTCCAGCGGGGTGAAGTGCTCCGTCATCACAACTACATAGTGATTGTCCCGTTTTGTTAACAGGACCGACCTCATTGCGTCAGTTGACCGCAACTCATCCATCTTGGGCACTGGAATCGGGAGCACAGGGTGTCGTTTTCTTCGATGTCTCCTTTCAAGAGCTGATACAAGTAGGCGGGTGTATCGATGTTATTTTTATGCTAAGCAATTAAGCTCGCTGTCTAAGCAAGTGATATCTTCTGTTGCACTTAGAGTGTGCCATCTCGTCATAAGAGATCACCAGCTTTTTCTGAATTTTGGTGGGTTCGTCGGCGCCCTGGTAATCCCTCGCCCTTGTGTCCACATGAGAACTCCGGATTAGTTGAGGTGCACCTTTCCCAGACTCCGCGCAAAATAAACCGAAATTGCTGGCCCGTGCTTTTGGTTGCCGCAGCTTGCTTCGTTATTCATGTTGTTATCGCCCTGCTCTGGAGTATATCCTTTCCTTGTTCATCCACCAACTTTCCTGTATCCTGCTCCAGCACTGAGCCCTTTACGTGGAAGGCAATGTTCAGCGAGCCATCCTTGTTCGCTATGCCTTAATAAAAACCTACGTACTGCTGTATTTCTCCGAAATGTGGTTTATCGTGAAGCCGTAATCTTGTGCCTTCAGCGCCCCTCTCGCCAACTTGCCGCTTCAGTCTTTGGAGAAGGTAATCCATTCTAGCGATTTGTGGTCTGTTTGGATCAGTATCTGTTGACCCAGTAATTACGACCGCCACTTGTCCAGCGCCCAAATAATTGCCAGACACTCATTCTCTACGCTAGTATACTTGCCTTTCGCTGTCGTATTCATTCGTCCCCTGCTTTTGCTTCGGCACCGCACCGATTCCGTCATCGCTTGCGTCTGTAAGCACCGTGAACCTTTCTCCAAACTCGACTATTTCATCGTCAGTTCTTGCTCGCCATTTCATTCTGAGTGTCCTCAACTGCTAGCTGAACTGCTGCCGTCCGAGTGAATTTCTTGCCCTCTCCCAACTGATCATACAGGAGTGACTTCAAGCTGGTAAAATTCCCTACACGTTTACTGAAGCATCCGGCACATCATCATCATCAACGATAGAAGTACATTAGCCATTTGAGCTGACGCTTTGCTGCCATACAACAATTGCCAACAACAATTGTGACTTATGGAACGAAGAATAATAAGAGGGTGAGAAAGGGGTTTACCGGAAAACCTTAATGCCCTAAGCAAACATTCATGGTCAAGGTGCTTACACCTTGTCAAGACCATACCGTCACAAAATCCTGGATATGGTGTAAAGATAAGGTGACATCAGCGAGACAGCTTCCTTACATCTTTCACTGCTCCACGTCATAACCAGCTATTAACCCGCAGATAACTCAACACCGACATACTTTAAACAGGCGGTCTTACTAGGATACGGCACCACACACACCTCTGATGCCGACTGCGGGACATGTAACGTCTCGGGCCAAGCGCAAGGCGGGTCACTTGGGCTCCAGCCTGGAAGGCGGAACGGACCGACGGCGCCAAGTTTGGTCAATGGAACAATGATGTATTAAAGGTAAAAAGCAACGCTTAACAAGTCCCGTGAGTTGGAAATAATTGCGAAAATTAAATTGCATGGTAAAGGGAAAAGCGTTTTGTTGGACTCACCATAGACTTATGCAGAATAGTGGAGGTGTTCACGTCTTAAATGTTTAAATCAATAACTCCATTTGTTGGGAATTTGTTAAGACACCGTTTGCTTGCATTTTGTAGCCCCTGGCTAACAAGTCAACGTGAACTGCAATTAAGACAACGCATCGTCAACTCATTTTGTAAATATAGCCAGCTTGGGAGCAGTGACGAGATAATTAGGAAGGGCGTTCCAAGGCTGGCACACGCGGAGCGAACAGAACTTTCTACGGCATTCAAGCCGGCTATACTGTATTTTCAATTTCTGAGGATGCCCTCTTCAAACCAAATTAAAATAAGCTTTATGAACCTTAATGGGTACATTTTCAGAATTTACACCGTCACTGTGGACACCTGGATGACAATAGCAATATATATATGCTTGGGTATAAAAGTGGGAAGAAAACAGAAATGTTACTCCAACAAGCGCTCGCGTAGCGTGATGGTGACTTTTGCTATGTCAACAAGCAAACGTGAGCGATAAGGCAGACCAGTATTTCAATGCGATAACGTGCGGGAGAGTAAAATTTTGAATTTCGAACGAGTGGAAAAGAAAGGGAGCGTTTTGGAAAGATCCTTGTGAAGTAGATGAACTCGATCAGTTAGTATATTAGAAGAAAAAGCATTGCCGGCACCAAGATGTCCAGAAGTGATCAAATCAACTAAACCATCTCTAGACAAGCCGCCACATCTAGAAATGTGCTTTATGGAACGCACCAATAAGATGGAGTCTTTCTGAAGCAGTCCAGGGAAAATGACAGGGGAGCAGCATAACCAATGGGGAATCATACTTGAGGTAACAAACTTA